ATTGTGCACCTGTTGAAAGACTCTGGCAAAAATGCAAATGAGGTGGGACAAGAAGAGGCTAGAAAACTGGTTTCTACACCCTTAGAGAGGTAGCCGCAGAGAAGGTGGCTATGTAGGGGCCAGGAGGAGGAAGATGGAGTATGCTTTATGTGCCGTACAGGAACCCAATTTTCCTTTGAGATGAGGTAGCAAACCATCCTCTGCATTTTCCTGTCTGGAGGGGCTTGGGCAGCCAACCAAATTCAAATGAATCCTATTCTCAGTATTTAAAAGAATTTGAGGTTCCACCTCCAGATGCTTGAGCATATAAATGCAAAAACTGAATGTGAACATTACAAAATGGTTTATGACTTTGGCCACAATGCACTCAAATCTTTCTGAATGTAATATATCCATAAGGCAAGCTTTGTGGAATTCAAAGTTTTTGAAAATATGTTACTCAGCTCCTTAAAAGTAAACCTGTCTCTCAGTCTATGTCTCTAGGAAAAAAAAATAGTAAACTATAGCTAGATAAAATCACCAGCCCTGCACATTATTAGGCTCCAAAACTGGAAAAGACTTTGATGTTCACAAATTCAGTGTGGATGGTATTGTTTTGACTTTCCTGGTAGAAAATAGAAATATAAATAATACTATTACAAATTTGAAAAATATGATTATTTTACTCAGTTGCTGAACTAAAGCTCCCTGACAGCAGGAACTGAAACTTGGTTCCTTTTAAATTCTCTCTTAATACCTATACTTTATAACATAAATTCCCTATACACCTCTATATAAAAAGATAAATATATCTTTAACATATTAGATATTAAAAATATTCACAGAAAGAATGAAATAGCATAGAAATTTGAAAGAAAGAATTGTAATGAGGCTGGGGAGGCAGCAAGGAGGAGCCAGTTCCTGGAGTCTTTTCACTTGTGCCAAGGGGTGAGAAGCCGGTGCTTAACGAGGAGCATGGCGCTGTCGGGCTTTTCATTCTGTCTCCCCAGAGACTTGCTCCATTAGTTGCTTCCCGTGAGTCTCTACCAGCCTCTTAAACCTAAAACAGGTTTCCCTGCCTCTATTTTCCTTCTGCCACCGCCTTAAAGATAGAAAGGTCATTTTATACCTAATGCCTCATTTTCTCATCTCTTGTCTACTTGTCAATTCACTATAATTAGATTTCTGTCTGAATATTCCACCAAAACTGTCCCGGCAAAAGTCACCAATCTAATTCTCAAGTGCAGAAGTTGCTTCTCAACCCTTTTCCAATCCGCTCACTTGGATCACTACTCTCTGAAACTCTTCACTCTCTTGTCTCTGTTTTCAACCCAGTACTTCTCTTAGTATTCTTTCTTAAGATTCTTTGCTATTTCTTCTCCTCTGCCTTCCCCTAAGAGTCAGCGTTCCCAAGGTTTAAAATCCTCTTCTCCTACCTTCTCACTCTCTCTCTAGGTTGATCTTACTCAGGTTTGTGATATTAGTTATGACTTATACATGAATGTCAACCGAAGATGTAATCTCAAATTCTATGCCATGGTGTCCATTACCTACTAGGTATCTCCATATGATTTCATTCATTAAACAAACAATATGGAGTATTCGTTATGCCAAGATCTGGCTATGTGCTATGACTATTACAAAAAGTAAGATGCATCTCTTGCCCTTTGGGCCTCTTAGGCTGGTGGAGGAGGCAGAAACACTGTGATTAGGGCTACTTGTCATAGGAACCCAGACAAGCAGCAGTGAACCCAGCCCTGGGAGTCAGACATGTCTTGGTGAAAGAGGTGATGCCTAAGGTAAGCCAGAAAGCCGGACAAAGAGGAGGCAGCACCTGAGGACGAAGGGAAAGGACATGCCAAGCAGAGAACACAGCCAAACCAAAGGCAAGACAGCAAGGAGAAGCTTGGCATATGCAGCAAAGCATAGCAGCATAAGGTTGCTGAAACATACTGTGTGTGCAGCAGTCGGAGCAAGATGAGGCTGGAGAGGGAGGCAGAGGCAAGACGACAGAGGGTCTCCAGGTACAGTTATGCTGAAGAGCTTTGACTTTATCAAATAGCATAGATGACAAGCCTGTGTATGTATAAATGATGGAAAATGGGAATGAAATAGCCAGATCTGCTTTTTAGAAAGAGTATGATGTGCTCCCAGGGTAAAAGATTGGAAGTGAAAAAGAAAGCCTGTAGACAGGGACCAGGAAGGAGTGGTTAGGGTTACATGTTCACTTCCATCTTTGACACAGCAGCTGATAGCCACGAAGCCCACTAGCATGAGGCTGTTGTCTCTGCTGAGACTTATCCACACATGGCCTTAAATATAAGTATTACTAATTTTTGTGTAGTTGTTGAATAGTTTCCACTTTTCAGAGGCTCCAACCTTGGGCAAATAGCTACAGGAATAATAACAGCATTATACAAATGGGATAAAATTTCTTGCCAGTGTTTAACATAGTTTGTTTCTTTCCACATTTTATCCTAAATAAGCACACAGGCCTTTTGGCAAAAACCCCTGTGTACTAGCACTCCAAAGTAGCAAGTCTGAATCTATATAAATAACAGCAAAGTAGGCTTCTTATACTCACTGTGAGTGTTGGGCAGTCAGAGACATTCAGCTCTTGCAAATTTCTACAGAGGCCTAAATCAAACAAGTTAAATATCACTAAACACTGTATTACAAGTGTTTAAACTTAAAGGTTTTTCATCCTGCGCTCAATGAGATGCATTCATTAGAAAACAAACAGAAACCTTGGCAAGTAACTTATTCTAAGTATATGGTTTCTTTTCCCAGAAAACAGATTTCTTCTGGCTTTAAAATTAAAATATATACACATGTTAATTACTGCTTGAGGATTACAGAAGGGAAGGGAAAAGAGAAAACTACTACTTTGGGAAACACAGTATATACTTAAAGCTTTTAGCTAGGAAGGAAAACAACCTGCTTTTTTGTGGCATGACTTTTTTGTTCATTTTTTGGTTTTTGTTTCCTTTTACCATTTTATTAAGAAAATTTCAAACAGACAAAAAAAATTGAAAGAATTGAAGAATTGTACAATGAAATTAGATTTTACAATTTATACTTTAGGGTATTTACTTTATCACATACCCTCCTGTATATCCATCTATCCCTCAATCCATCTTATTTTTTATGCATTTTAAAGTAAGTTGCAGACATCAGCACACGGCCCCCCAAATACTTCAACATGCATAATAATTACAAAATATTTATGAGTTTTTTAGATTAGATTTACATGCAAAGGGCAGTGAGGTGTAGACAGAGAAGTGGAGGGTCCAAAAGGCCAAGTGCCTGGTTAATTCTGAAACCAGAGGCAACTACATAGCTTATGGCTTTGCAGGGAATATGAGACACGTATGTAGAAAGCTGGAGGGCAAAGTGTTACACAACCAGCACTCTGGGTCCAGACCAACAGTAAGGGAAACCCCAGGGCTGAAACAGGAAAGAAGCAGCTAGGGGAGGAGACATAAAACAATGACCTGGAGGAATGCTTGAGGGGCAATGGGAAGAGTGCAGAGGAGGAGGAAGGTATTCTAGGAGTGGGAAGCAGGAAGACTAGGCAAGGGGGTGATCCTGGTGTTACACTGTACACTGACCAGAAAGCACATCTGCCCATAGCATGTAGCCCCACAATAATAATGGGAATGTTATTTGTCATAAATCCATATTAACATTTCTTTCTCTGCAAAGAATGGACTATGTCCTGAGTAATAAATGCAACCCAAAACCACTTTCAGAATTTTAAAAATGAAAACAATTCTTTAAAACGTGCAGATCTTGGAAGTCATCAGTAATACCTGTTAAGGAAAGAAGTATAATACTACATTATATTGATACCAAATATTAATTTATTATACTTTACTATAAAAATAATACAATGTATTATATTGTTAATATATTAATATTAATTATATTAATACCAAAACAATATAATAACTAAGTTTGTTAGATTAATATTTTTATAGAATAGTTACTTGGGAGTAATTCATGCATTCAATAAGTATTTATCAAGAGCCTGCTATGTGCCAGAACCTCTCCAGGTGCTGGAAATACTACAGTGAACAAAATAGAAAAAAAAACCCTGCCCTTATGAAGTTCACATACTGAACTCTCACGTAGTTGGGAGAGACTGACAAGTAAACAAAGGAGGTAAAAACATTTACTTGGCAGATGATGGTAAGTTCTGTGGAGAAAAATAAAACAAGGAAGTGGATAGAGAGCAAGTGGGAAGAGGTGCCACTTTAAATAGAGCAGTCAGGGAAGGCTTTGCTGAGAAGGTGACATTAGAGTTAAGATGTACAGATGACAAGAACAGTACAAGTTACTCTGAGCACTCATGGTTGGCGATTGGGAGACAGAAAAAAAAAGAGAAACATAGGAAGTAGGATAGCCATTGGAGTCCTATTCTTGTTTGCACATCTCAAGGCTGTAAGAAGAACCCCTTTAATTTCTTGAATCCAATGTGATGATATACTACAGGTTTCAGCTTTCATAATGCTAAGCCCTAACACTATGGGGCACTTCTACTGGACCAGACACTGTGAAGTGTCTTACACACATTAGCCCATTTCATCCTCCCAATGATACTGAGAGTTATCCTCAGGCCTATTTTATTGATGCTGAGGATGAGGTTAAGTAACCAGCCTAAAGTCACACAGTTAAGCAAGTAGGAGTGTCTTGATTCAAACTCAGAGCACAGACATACAGCCACTAAACCAGGCAAGAGGGAGGGTACAGAGCCTCTCACACCGGTCTGAATGTGCCTTTATTAACTGCAGTGTCTTTGCTTAAAAGAAAAACTGTGGTGATCATTTTACAATATATACAAATATTGAATCATGTGGTGTATACATGAAATGAGTATAATGTCATATGTTAACTATACCTCAATAAGAATATATACATATAAAGAAATGAATCAGTTTTCTTTTTTTAAAGCTGCCATTATCCATCAGTAACAGCACTCACAGTGGTCCTAAACTCTATTTTTTTCTCTTGCCACCTAGGGACTCCACTGTACCTCAGCTGTGTCTCACTGTTCCTGAATTTTATTAGTTAGTCTAACCCAAACTTGGATTTCAAAGGAATACTTTCATTGTTCCAGCTGTCGCACGGAGTAATTGGGGCCAGCTGGCTGTCAGAATGCGTGTGGTTGCCGTGGTAATCCTTCTCTTCTTTTGCAAAGCTGCTGAGCTCCGCAAGACGAGCCCTGGGGTTGCGAGAAGCCTAGTGAGTCACCGCCCAGCGGGTGGGGGCCGGCGAGGCTCCAACCCAGTCAAACGCAATGCACCAGGCCTCGCCTGCGAAGTGTACACCTACCTTCGTGAGAAATACTTAGATTGTCAAGAAAGAAAACTAGTTTATGTGCTACCTGGCTGGCCTCAGGATTTGCTGCACATGCTGTTAGCCAGAAACAAGATCCGCATATTGAAGAACAACATGTTTTCCAAGTTTAAAAAGCTGAAAAGCCTGGATCTGCAACAGAATGAAATCTCCAAAATTGAGAGCGAGGCTTTCTTTGGTTTAAACAAACTTACCACTCTTTTGCTGCAGCACAACCAGGTCAAAGTCCTGACGGAGGAAGTGTTCATTTATACACCTATCCTGAACTACCTGCGTCTTTATGACAACCCCTGGCACTGTACTTGTGAGATAGAAACACTCATTTCAATGTTGCAGATTCCAAGGAACCGTAATTTGGGGAACTACGCCAAGTGCGAAAGTCCACAAGAACTAAAAAATAAAAAACTGCGGCAGATAAAATCTGAAGAGTTGTGTAATGAAGAAGAAAAGGAACAATTGGACCCGAAATCCCAAGTGTCAGGGAGACCTCCAGTCATCAAGCCTGAGGTGGACTCCTCCCTCTGCCACAACTATGTGTTTCCCATACAAACGCTGGACTGCAGAAGGAAAGGTTTGTAAATTTCATTTTCATAAAAATGCTCTTTGAATCTCATAACCCTCTCCACGCCCCACCAAACTGCCTTGGAATTTCTAGTGTCGCTTCCACCAGAAATCTTTCCCCAGCAACAATGGAATTTATCCCAAGCTCTTCTGGAGTCCAGACTTGGGCTTGTTGGTGATTTGGGGAACGACACAGCAGGGTAAGAGATAGGGTCGGGTATGACCATATCCTACTTATCTGGGACCTACTGATTTGCCCATCAAAAGTATCTGGAAGAAATTCCTTCAGTCTTAAATCCGGTGTAATGTAATTTATGTAGGTAAACCAGGGATTATGAAGTCAAGCACAGATGCTGTCTATAAAACCTGACCTATGCCATTTGAAGTCAAAACATGATGTGCTTCTGTGGGGAAATGATAACCTCAAGGAAACTCACGTGGAACAGGACAGGGAGAGCACCGAGAGGGAGGCCAAGTGGCAAGCACTGCTCGGGTACCACCAGTAGTTCTTAGAGTCTCAAGATTTTACTAAATGCTCACTAATCTCTGGTATCATAATTGTCCCCAAATTATCCAGAATAAAGCATAAAAATATTGAAAGAACTAAATTACAAGTATTAGAATTATGAGGATAAGAAAGTCTTCCAAGAATATTACCTACTTCCTAGTACTGGGTTAGTACCGGGCAGGATTTTGCATGTACAGGATAAATTCATGAAAGAAGAAAACAGATGAGAGATTTTAGTCATGCTCTTGACAGGTTGCGGAAGATGTTCTCAACATGTGGTCTGGAAACTGCTAATTGACCCTAGGATAACAAGCCATGTGACAGTGTTTCATTTCTGGTGTAGATTAATAATTTATTTATAATGTTAAAGTTAGATACCAGTGAATCAGAGTCATATAGAGCACATGTCATTGCTACCACTTAGTTTGTGATGTTTTGCTTTGTTTTTTTCCTCCAAGAACAAAAGGGAAGGTTAAGAGGCTCCAAGTCCTTTCAAGGGAACCACAGGCAGGAATTTGTTGACACTCAAGAAGCAGGCAAACTGAGCCAAGAGAAAATGTGTTCATTTAAAATTGTGCTCAAGCCCTGCCTTTCTCTCTCTGACTGAGATCACACCATGGCCACATGGGATGGAAAGGTTTGCTTCCCTGTGATATGTATATAATTTGATACCACAGTAGAGCAAGTACAGCATCCTAACCAGAGAGATGCCATTCTGGGATCTTCCAAATTTGAGAGAAAAGTCTCATTAATTGAGAACCTACTATGCTCCAGGTACTCCACAGGCATTCTGTCTACAAATTACAGGATGGTAGTACTGCCCCATTTACAGTTGGGGAAACCGAGGCTCAGGGCGGTTCAGTCACTTGGCCTCAGTCTCACAGGTAAGCAGCAAAGATTTGAATCTTGGTCTGCCTCAGTCTGCCATCTTCCTTAATCTGATCATGTTCAAACAAACAACTGCCTGGACAATAGAAGCATTAGAGAATTCCAGAAAAGTCCATCTATGTAGTTTCTCTGCAGCCAGATTGGGTGGAATTTCCCAGACGTCATTAAGGTAAGTACTTAGTGTTTCATGCTGACGAGGATTTCCTTTGTGATGCTTAGATCAAAAACTTGAGTTATATAAAAATTAATCCAAGTTGCTGACATTCTTGAATAGGCTGGACTTATTGTACCTCTCTCCTGGCATCAGAATATGTCTAGGAGATATGAATAAGGAAAGACCTTGCACAGCTCTTCCCATACAGTAAAAATACTATTTTTTATTGCAAAACCTTGGAAGATGACTTTTCTGAATAAAAAGAATTAATAAAAAAAAATTTATCCAAAGCTTCTACACTTGGGTTAGAAAAAGTACTGATACAGTTGCTGAGGTTCTACCCTCAAGGTCAAGAAAATTTGCATTTGCTTCATCAGGTGATAAAGAGGAAGTGGGCACTATTACGTTCATTAATTATCTGAGAAAAAAGCTACCAACACAAAATTGAAGACTTCTACAGCTAGACCACACTATAACTTAAGAGATAACGTGTTACAAAACATCTCTTTTTTTTTTTTTACTGCTTTTCTACTCTGGGACCATTCCCTCCCCAATAAGACTATTTCTGTCTTTGTCTTTTTTTCCATGTTATTTTTGTCTCTTTTTCTTTTGGCAAATATCAAGTTATAAAAACAGAAATATGTTTTTTATTGCTTTCTTTCCTCAACTTATTGTGCTACCTAAGTACAACCCTCCAGATATGCTCTATAAATTCATTCCCCCTGCTTTCAAATACACATATTATTTACCAGAAAACAATATAAAGTTTCATGTCATACACACTTAGTATATATAATATTGGGTCATACATTAAAGGACAACTCAAATATCCAAATGTTAATGCCTACATACATCAGAACCTATACTTTTCAGCTTATAAAATGAAAGGCAGTTTTGTCTTTTAATGTAATCAATATAAATTGCTTTCTCTATGGTTAATATAAATCAGTTGATTCAGTTGATCATGTTTTTTATTTTGGTTTATTGTTGATTCCCATAAATTTAAAGGCAAAGGTCTTATTTTTTAAACTGTCTTTGGTACTGTCTGGCACAGACCCATAATGCTTTAGATTGATAATAATTGGGCTCTTTTTGCTCTTGCAAAGCAGTAATTTAAACCTTTAAGAATAAAAATATAGAGAAGTTAAAAATCATGTCTAGAATTCAAGTATGATGGTCTGAATTTAATCCACTGCAATGTTCCTTATTCCATTCTAATAAATACTAAAAATAAATATTCATCTCTAGCTGCCTACCAAAATGTAGTAATACTTTTTATGGTGCTCCATATATACACCCTATGTAAAATTTATAGAAACCTAAAACGTGACATCAAGAATGGAACTAGCAGTGATATTAATGAGTAAGAGCTGTCATCTAAATAAATGCTGTGTACATCTGAGACATAGCAGTTAACATGCAGTATGTAATTTGTTCCTCAAAAACCTTCAAAGAGTACACTAATTATCCTCATATTGTAGGTGAGGAAACTGAGGTATGAGAAGGTATGGTATTGCCCTTCTCAGGTCACACAGGAAGTTCCCACACCACTGACCAGCAGGCAGTATCATCTCTTCCCTCAAGATTTTGGGTACTTCTGTTAACCAAGAAAAACATTGTGAAAGCTTTCTAGGGGCTTCCTCCCCATAATGACCCCTGCTCTTAGACTCTGTACCACATGCCATGTACATGATCACACACAGGGAATCTGAATACAGATTCCCCCAACTCGGGAGGTGCGCCTTTCCCAACTGACAGATGAGTCGGGCTGAGTATAGGGTCCTTAATGGTGCCAGCTTGATCACATAGGCCTCCGAGATCACTATTTCTGTCTTAAACATCTGGTGACAAAAAAAAGAAAGAATAGCTTTATTCAGTGAGAGAGAGGCACTTTGCCGACAAAAACTTAGCCTTTCAAAGAGAATAAATGTGAGATTAGTTGAAAGGCATGTTTATGTGTTATTGAGGTAAATAGATTTGCCAAAAACACATATGTCAGAGTTCTAAAACTGCTTTTCCACTTCACGTTTACCATATAATTTACCATTTTTAAAGAGTCGTTTTATTTCTAAGTTTAGGGCTGGGGAGAAGTATGCAGTTTAATTGCTCCCAGCTGCCTCTGAAGTTAGTTTCGCCACTGTGTTTAAACAATAATTAATGATTTTTTATTTGCAAAAGCAGGGCCATTGATGTCTGTTTACCTACTACCATCAGGCTTCATAGTAGTTCTAACATTGCTGACAACCAAGATAGCCTACTAAATGGGAAATTACATGGAGAAAATTTGCCAATTTCCTCCTCAGAGGGTTTGGTTGGGGGAGGGACAAGGCTGGCCAAGGGTGACAATTAAGTAAATATGGCATTTATTGTGGGTTTACCAAGAATTTTGGGTAACAGCAAATAACAACATGGTGCCTGGTCTAGAAATGGGGGCATTGAGCACATATGACTAGGGAAATTTATATTATCTTTACCAAAAACATATTTTACATCAATATTCACAATTCTCTTTCAAGTTTAAGTAAAAGAACTGAAGAACTGTTTTGACTCACCAGGACAACAAATAAGATTTTTCCATGTTTTTCTAAGCCATACTAGTAGTAAAGGCTTTGGTTTGCATTTCCTGGTATTACTTGTGGATACTATTTTTACCCAGGGCAGCTGCTGAAAATGTCAAAGTTGGTTCTGCAATTCATAGTCTTTTTCCAGAATCTACAGGTCTGCCACCCTGCTAAAGCTGGGTTCCAGGGTGTTCTCATAAGCATTTTTTCTACCCATTTATTTGTGGGTAACCCACTTTGGCTTGTCCTACGGTGGTTGCTTGGAAGGTCTCTGTCATCCACGCTCACGGCCAACCCCACAAATACAGGCTCAGCAAGCAAGTCCTGATAAACAAGCTGTTTTCCAGAACTTTGGAGATACTGATGCTGGTGGCAAGGAAGACCTACAGCCCTTAATGGTTTTATAGGTAGAGCCTTGGTGAGGAATTGGGCTCTTATTCATTGTGAGATGGGAAGTGATTGGAGGAGTCCACCATTGGGAGGATGGGAAGCCATATGGGAGTACAATATATGACTTACGTTTTGACAGGATCGCATGGTCTTAGGACACTATTGGGATAATCCAGACAAGAGGTAATGGTGGCTTGGACCACTGTGGTAGCAATGAAGTGAGAAGAGGTGGAATCCTGGGTATTTTGAAATAAAATGATTCTGCTTTGAAAAGCCTTATAAGAAGGAGCCACAGCCATTCTTAGTAATTATTACAAACACCAAATGTCAAATTATTTCTTCTATCTATCCTCAATTGTCTCTATGGTTTTCAATTATCATTAAGATTTCCATCTCCTTATTTACATGTAGTATTCAAAAGGGTAATAACTCTCCAGCTAAGGTCTTGCTGATCCTAAAGGGAGGAGAATTACTTCACTGTTGCACTGTTATAATAAGTTCAAGTCTAAAATCTTTCACCTTCTAATATGTTGGCAGACACAACTACAGGTCAAACAGAACAAAGTCGTATCAGAAGACAGAAACAAGATCACCCCAAATTTTCAAAGCACTTTATTATAAGAGATCTCAGTATTCTTGAATGATTAAACTCAACATGTATTTAGTGGCTCTTATTATTTACAATGTGTTGGTCACCTATTGCTGCTTAATAAAATACCCCAAAACTTAGTGTCTTGAAGCAACATACATTAATTATCTCACAGTTTCTGTGGCTTAGGAAACCCAACATTTAGCTGGGCCCAGGATCTGCTTCAGGATCTCTAACAAAGCTGCAGTCAAGGTGTTGACCAGGACTTGTGCTGTGATCTCATCTGAAGGCTCAGCTGGGAAAGGATTCTAGTCCAAGCTCCTATGGGCTGTCAGCAGAATTCAGTTCCTCAAGGGCTCTTGAACTAAGGGCCTGAGTTCCTTGCTGGCTGTTGGCCACAAGGCACTCTTAATTCTGTGGCACACAGGCCTCTCCAACAGTAGCTTGTTTCATCAAAGCCAGCAAAAGAATGTCTGCTGACAAGATGAAAGTCACAATTTCTTGTAACCTAATTATGGAAATAACATCCCATCACATTTGCTGCATTCTATAGTTGGAAGCAAGTTGCTAAGTTCAGGCTATCCTCAAGGGGAAGAGTTTACACAGGGTGTAAATGTCAGTAGAAGGAATCATTGAGTACCATTTTAGAAGCCATCTGTCACATACCTATTATTTATTTATGATATATTAGGCACTGTTTTAAGCCTCCATCATAAAACTTCCATGGTAGAGAAGGGGCAAAAATGAAAATAATAAATTGTACACTATGTTTAATGGTGATAATTACCATAGAGAAAAAGCAGGGAAATGTCATTTAAATACAGATCAGAAGGGTCTCATGGCCACCCCAATATGTCAACTCTACCCCAGTTGTTCCCCCACCCCTCCCTTCACCCTACATGCCAGGCTTGAGGATTCGAGAGTAGATGGAACAGCATAAGGGGCGCAGAAGGGTATCAGGAACAGGCAGCAGAGCAGAGCAGTTAGAAGCATAGATTCTGGGGGTGGTGTGTCTGTGTTTAAATCCTAGGAGTGTGACTATGGGCAACTCTTGCCTCAGTTTCCTCCTCTGTAAAATGAAGATAATAATGGTATTAGTCCATTGGGTTCTTGTCACTTAATACTTGTTAGAGTGCCTAGAACAATTCCTGCACATAGATACTAAGATCCCATCAAGAAGAGAAAGCAAATTTAACACTAAGAAGGATACTAAAGAAGGAATTACCAATACCATTCCATTAAAGACCAGGGATTCTGAGGTTAAAAGAGGGAAGAAATAAGCCTGAGTCTTTTTGAAAGTAAATATACTATGGACTAAGGAATCATAAATACCAGTGTTTTAAAAACATATTTGGGGTAAGTTGTAAGCAATTCAGTTATTTTGCTGATCCATAAGAGGCATTATGGATAAATAGATACTTTCATAAACTTATTTTACTACCCAATTCAATGAATTTATTCAGAAAGCCTTTGGGTTATGCTATTTCTCAGGTGCCAATTAATCTGGACGTTTTACGTATTGCTTCTAGTTTTCTTTTGTGGGAAGAGATTTGTTTCTCTTCACAGGTTTCACTAGCCCTACTCAAAATTGAATAAAACCTCTTCAAAATATTTTGCAAAAGATTAAAAAAAAGTGCAAGTATTACACTAAAATATAAACACACTTTACATTTTTAAAAAAAATATGGTTTAAAGACAAATATAAGTAGTAAAGATAAATTAGGTGAACCTTGATTTCCTGTTAACCTGTGAAAAACCACCTGGGCTGCTCCTCCTGAGGCTTTTCCTGTCGTAGCAGTTATCAATAGGAGTCCAGTTACTGCAGTGCTCCGGGAAGGATCAGGGAGTAGGGCTGTATAAGGCAAGTCACAAGGATTCAGGAAATAGGTGGGTGATGAGGAAGGAGGGGCAGCAGGCCAGAACTACTAGCACTACTCTCAAATTTTAGCATCCAAGGAAAGAGGAAATAAAGTAACAGATTGAGGGTCGTCCAAGTCAAGAGCTTTTCATTATCAGGGAGAAACCTGAGCTTATTTGTTAGCAGAAGGAACCTAAAGGGAGAGAGAAAATGAAGATGCAACAAAGAGGCATAAATTAATAGAACTCCCAGAGGAGTGGGAAGGAGATGGGAGGGACACAAAGCGTTTTGATTTGTTCTACTTCATTCTACTTTACTTTTTTTCAGAGCTTCCTGGGTGATTCTAACAGACAGGCAGGAGGGAGCCCCAAGCCTTGCCTGATGCCTGAGCCAACTGAGTTCACTGCCTGCTGCCCTCCTTTGATTTCCTGCTGCCACCTCTAGAATTTCCTCCCAATAGCTCAGCAAGACATGACACCTGCTCCTCTAAGCGTGATGCCCTTGTCTCACTGGGCATTGGTGGGAGTTCACACATCCTAAGGCTTGCTCATGCCAATGTTCTTTGGCTTAAGATATCCCTTTCCCCTTTATCTTTAGTGCTGACTCTTCAACCATTGGTATAAGAGTGACAGAGAAAATGGAGTGAGGAGAGAGCTTGATGACCTGAATATTATTTATTTTTCCAGAGTTGAAGAAAGTTCCAAACAACATCCCTCCAGATATTGTTAAACTTGACTTGTCATACAATAAAATCAACCAACTTCGACCCAAGGAGTTTGAAGATGTTCATGAGCTAAAAAAATTAAACCTCAGCAGCAACGGCATTGAATTCATAGATCCTGGTAAGTTCTACAGAATAGCTCTTTAAATGGGTGTTTGGTGTTTGTTTGTTTTTTATTATGGCAACATTTATAGTAAATATAATTTAGTTTTAAAAAACTGAATAACTAAAAGCAAATTTAAATTAAATATGATGCTTATATTAGAATTTACTTGGCACCCAGAAAAATACTTGTCAAAGTGTTGCTTTATGAAGTATATAATACTATATATTGTGAAGCAATGGTTATTCAATTGGTCCAAATAAAAATGTTTTGTAGAATAGATTAAAAAATAAGAATTTGTGGTTAGTCGTCAGTAATATGCTAAACATATAATGATTTTTAAAGGGAAATTCAGGTTTGGCATTGTCTTTGCTATTCATTAAGCCCCAACTTAATTTAAAGTTAAGAGTTTAACAACTTATTTAAAGTAAATTTGAAACAATCTACTAAACACCAAGATCATAAAATAAGACAGAATGTGCTCAAACCACAGCCAGACATATTTTATCTAATCCTCGATCCAAATCAATTCTCTTTTCCATCTTTCAAGCTTCTCCATTTGCTAATAGGCAAAGCATCTGGCAAGAATGAGTGTGGTAAGTTCCAATTCCAGTGGATTTGAAAAAAAATGAGAATTACTGCAATATTGATCAGATTTGTAATGAACATAACATATGTGCCTTCACAGCACTACTTCAATTTGAAAAGCACTACTACAAAAATGATGATCAATAGTATTTATAATGCAGTATTAAATTTTATGCAATGTTGATATCATACGTATTTTGAGTACAATTGTTACTTCTGCTTTTCTTAATGGTAATTTAATGCCATTTAGATCATGAGGATTTTAACATTAAAGAAGTTAAAATTGAGAGTGACTGTTCTGGGACTCTGAAAGCATATTTGAGTATTAATAACATCTTTAAAAATATTCAGAAATCATAAAGAATTTCCTAAGGAAACAACAAAATGGTACATTTATACCTTAGCCTGTACAGATATTATAAAAGTTGGGAGTATCTTTAAACTGTGAGGACAAAAGCAATTTTCATTTCACAGTGAGTAAAAATACTAGAGAGGCACTCTTCTCCCACATGAAGCCATCATCATACTACTGTGCAGGTCACTCGCTGGTAGCCAGGCTCCACAAAGCCAGGCCATGGGGTGAAGAATCTGGAGGTAGAGACCCTCACTTCTCCGTGAGAACCACAGAACCGCATGCCGAGTTGCAAGTCCCTGGGCATGTGTCCTTCTGGATGCTGTCATCCAGAACCTTAGCTTACCAACTATCAAAGTATCAAAGCAAACAAGTTTCAGAGCATTCTATAAAAGGGACCAAAATTTAGTTATAACATGGCCTAAGTTAAATTTACTAAAGTGAATAATGGCGCAACAGTGTTTTAATTGTAATAGAACTATATATAGTATGTATAGAAAACTAGAGAAAAATGAGAGAAGACAAGCAGAGATAGGTAATAGTGCAAACTGGTTTGATTTTACTTCTAGTGACATTTTTTCCATTATCACTTGTGAATTTCCCATAATTGCCAGGACTCCTTTCCCATCCTTGGGATCTCCTGATCTTTTACTCTTGTTTACCCAGTGTGTTATTGCTGACACATGATGTGAGCTCTATTTAATCACCAGTAGTTATTCTACTTTGTTCAATTCATTCCCAGTATTTTCTACATGAACAAATATGTGTTGAGCACCTACCAAATGCCAGCTACTTTTCTTGGTATGTCTTCTAGAACAAAATAAAAGACCTTCTATACTAAAGGGCCTTTGAGATGAAACACTGCCAAAGTAGACTTACTTAATGACTTACACTGCTAAGATACAAATTAAATGAGACTCACCAGTTTTTTAAGGTGTGAATAACAGTGTCATAGAATGTCAGACATTATTTCAGGTAAATGAAAGAAGGGGCCCTATTAGAGGTCTTACCTCCTAATTTCTTTGTCAAGAAATGAAAGAAAACCAGCTTTCCCAAGTGCTTGAATACATATGGGTTAAGTAACAACTTATAGCACTTTCAAAATAAAATCTAGAAATGTTTACACAAGCTTTCTGTCTGAAGGGCTGACTTGTTTTAAGGAAAGTTAATTGTGAGATCACTGAATCACAGAATGTTAGAAAATAGAAAACAATGCAGTGTCTTCAGAGCTATCATTACAACGGCTGGCATTTTACTCCTGCCCAGCCGCCTGCCTTTTCCCACCCCCAACCCCAACCCTCACCCAGAAGCCATTGCTTTGCACCAAAACAGAAAAAATCCTTTTTAGAGGAAACTATAAATTGTGTCTGAGAACAATGATGTGAAAATGGTTAACTATATTGGTATGAGAGCACCTTTTCCAAATGCAAATAAGGAAGGACTCTGTATGCCCTGAGTATTTTAAAACAGTAATGAGCAAATGTCTGAAATAGAAACAAAATATTTGAAATCAGGATTGACCTAAATTCTAGGACATCTGGTCAGTCCACATCAACTGAAATAACAATAATCTAGGTTTAGATTTCTTTACTCCTGGTGGAAAAAAAGCTTTTTGTTGTCTTATTTTGTGTTATGTTATGTGTTTGATATTTGTTTTAATTATCCACCCTCCAGCAGAATTAAATACATATGGATTCAAAGCTGATAGCTACCATAGCTCTGCAGAATAGAACCAGATGTTTTCCAAATGTTGATATAATATTTTTATTTTGGGAATGTAGTTCCCTCCCCCTAAATTGGGAAAAGTCTTTTTTCTAGGCATTTTTAGAGTTTACTGATATCCCAGGGAGCTGCCAAATCATCACCAGATTTTTCATTTTTTAATGCACTTATGTCATGTAGCTGAAATATTTTCCAAATTCAAACCTTTTCTTGTGGCATCTTTCCAGTGAACATAAAAAGTACACACGAGTCCAAAATACATTTTTTAGAAAGCTAACTTAAAACTGATTTTTCAAATAAAATATTATATTCTAGTCAGTTGAATCAAGGAAAAAGCTTTGAGTAAAAACATATTTCAGAGTTTCCCATTTAGACATATATACTGTTAGGGAAATATAATTAAAACAAAAATCTCCCAACAGAAGAAGAAATCCTCTCCAAAAAGGTAGTAGAGAAAGAAAAAACACTTTTATTACTGAATAAGCATTAAACCAGAATAAATGCATATCACGGGCAATCTGCTAAGAAACTGCAAAGACAGAAAGAAATCTCAATTCTTTTATCTAGACAAGAAGACAACCCAATAAATACATTGGATATTTTAAAATAAATGATAGCTAGTCCTTAACTAAGTGGATTTTATAGCACAATTTGTCATGCAAAATTCATCCTAACTTTACCTGGTAATTGAGGTGACCAATTGTGTTAGCTAATCAGCTCTACACAGAGGAAAACAAACTTTTATCTTTATGACAAGAGGTAGTTTTGCAACTGGGAGCAAGCCTCCTACCCTCCCACAGAAACTAGGAAGTAGGGATGCATCGCCCTTGATATTTACATTTCAAAGAGATGGCTCCCAGGTCCTTGATATTCTTGGCTCAGAATGTCTAGTTCTTCTAAAGGATATGTATGCATTTCAAAGAGAGGAGAAAATACTTACAATGATGTTTTCTAAAGTAAATGCTCTGCAAAAGGAGGAGAGGGATATCTGTTTCTAATTTATATTTGTCCTAACAATACACCAGACAAGTTGCATTTAACCTGAATACTTGTTGCTTTAATAAATATTTTCTGTTTCTAGCTGCTTTTTTAGGGCTCACACATTTAGAAGAGTTAGATTTATCAAACAACAGTCTGCAAAACTTTGACTATGGAGTATTAGAAGACTTGTATTTTTTGAAACTCTTGTGGCTCAGAGATAACCCTTGGAGATGTGACTACAACATCCACTACCTCTACTACTGGCTAAAGCACCACTACAATGTGCACTATAACGGCCTGGAATGCAAAGTGCCTGAAGAATACAAAGGCTGGTTTGTGGGAAAATATGTTCGGAGTTATTATGAAGAATGCCCCAAAGACAAATTACCAGCATATCCTGAAACATTTGATCAGGATCTGGAAGATGATGAATGGGAAAAAATACATAGGGATCACACAGCAAAGAAACAAAGTGTAAGAATAACTATCGTGGGATAACTTAGAAGTTGTTCTGGTTGCAACTAGTTTTGTATTTTCTATACTGGTATCAGAAACCATATGTTTACATTTTGATTAACTGGGTTGCCTATTTATGCAGGATTATCCAGCTGTTTGCAGAACAGCCTTTGATGACTATTTCACACTAGTACACTGCAGAAGTTCGGTCCTAACGATGGCATTAGAATTTCATAATGTCCTGTATAAATGTTTTTACTGCTTTTGAAAATTAAAAAAAAAACATTTTTATATGCCCTTCAGTAGCTGCTTGTAGATACCTAAAGATGATCAAAATGAAAAGATACAACTGCTTAGTAATAAAAATATCATTCTTTCCCTTTTGCCCCTGGCTACTTTTTGTTTGTTTGTTTTCAGTAAGTCAGCTTATGCATTTAATAAATTTACATTCCTGGTACCTGTGCATTCCCAAATGCAGTCCTGGTAAACCCAAACTGTCAAATACTCTTCACTGATCCATACAAAAAATTGTCAAGCTAGACCTGAAGAATTGTCACAATCAATAAGTAGAGAATCTAAGAATTATATTGGAGACTGGTCAGAAGATGCAGACTCAGAAGCACTTAGTAGATGGTGTCAGCCATGAGCCCTGAAGAGGTAAAAACACTAGTGAATGTGGAAAAAGCACTGATTTTTTAACAGAGTTCAGACTATGAAGCCACTTGTCAGTGGGAAGGGCCTGAGCCCTTCCTGCAAAGCTGATATATATATCAAGGAGCTTACAACAAAGGATGAAATTGGATTCAGGGTCAGGATTTAAGATAAAGCAGAAACAAAAAAGAGGAAGTGATATCAGAAGCAAGAGAAGAGGTGATGCCCAAAGGAAGCCCCATGATTTGTGTTTGCAGGCTAAAATTTGCTCAACTAGAGAAACAGCCCACCAGAAAAAGAGGGAATACCTGGAGACTGACCCTATCAGTTTGTATTTCAATAGTTGGTTGTACTATTGGAAAAATAAAATGAAAATAAATATACACACAAAGAAAAAAAAATATATACACACACACACACACACACACACACACACACATATCCTTAGAAATACCCCTTTTTCCATTTTATACAGATTTCCTTTTCCCACTAAGTTGAATGAATCTTCATTTCTTATATCAAGATATTCCTACAAAGTTTAGCAACTGGTCTTATTTGATACTGCACAAACTCCCAGAGCATAGAAGATGGTATATGACAGATAGTATTGAGCATCCTTTAAGCATCTACGAGATACCAGACATTATGCTAAGAGCTTCATATATCCTATTTCTAATTTTCACAAGATCCCTGAGGCAGGTAATATCTGCCTTTTCTAGATAAGGAATCCAACACTTAGAATTTAGTTAACTTGGACAAAGCCACAGAGCTGGCAGGTGGCCAGCTAGAATTGAGGTGCACCTAAGCCCTTTCTGCTGTGCAGGCCTGCAGAGTGCTCTACAAGTTACTCTAGGCCATGGCTGTCTCACATCAGGACTTCCAGAACTAGACCCTAAAAGAAAAATAGATGTCAGGAAGGTTAAGTCTTTTTCTTCAGAAACACCGGTGAAGGCAGTGGGTGGGAGAGAGTCATTGGTCCAAGACATTTAAATCTGTATTAATACGTACAGGAAACCAGGAGAATGAGAAGCTGGAAGAACTGCTGGAGAAAGTGGTTCAGGAAATGACTCTGGAGTGTGAGCTTCTAACCGCTCTGTTCATTTCACCAGTGGTTTGGATCAGGGTGGAGACTTCGTCATACTGGTACTCAGTGCAAATCCTCACATTATTCACTATCAGGTATTAAAGGAAGCTGTAATGAAGTGTTACCAGAGAGATGTAATAAATTCACCTATTGTTCATAATCATTCAGAGTAGAATATTAAAGACACAAGGCTGAAACAGCTGTGCTTTGATGGTGGAGAAAGCCTGGATGGGGTCAACAGAAGATGGAAGCATGCAGTGGGGACAGGAGGGCTCTGAAAAGAAATGAGGAGATTAAATGTGATTTAGAGAAAGGGGCCTAAGTTACTGACTGGCTTAAATTTTGGAAGCTACTTGGGGATTTTATTGGTTGATTTTTATATTTAGTATTATCCTCTCTTTTGGAAATAAAGCTCTGGGACACATTGCAACAGAAATTGATTCAGACCATCCAATAGTAACTCAGTTGGAGTTGCTAATATTAATATCTCCCAGAGCCAAAATTGAAGTGTATTTTTGGAAGCTTACTATTTGCCCTTTCTCTGTATCAGAGTTTATACTTTTCAGGGAAGCATAGCTGATGAATGATGGGATAAACAATTAGGTAATTCGTCTTCTGCCAATTTCTTACTTGATAGTTTAATAACTTGCTAATAGACCTTCCTTCGGTTCAGTAGATGGTGAAGTTAAGGAGATTGAAAAAGTAAGTATATTTTATGGTAGTCAAAATATGACAGTTCTGAGATTTACACAGTTAAACATATATGTTTCAACATCACTTGGGTATTTGGACAAATAATCAAGTTTAAAAACAAACTTATTGTCCTAAGATTCTCTAATTTTTCTGAAGTAAATAAGATTTACTAAAAGCTGAGATCTACTGAGTGCTACGCCTGCCTGAGTCAGCTCTAACCCACTGCTTATTTGGGAAAGATATTTAACATTAAACAGTTCAGATTTTTCATTTTCCAACCATTCCCTCCTCTGGAGCTTATACCCTGGGTCAATTAATCTCCATTTCTGAGAAATCTGAACAAGTCTGCTCTGGCAAAGGGAGCAATTAGTAATGAGAATTTCCTTGCCTAAATTCTATGAGATGTCAAGGTTCCTTTCTGCAGGAGGTGGAGTTTTGGTGAGGGGGAGACATAATATGTGACTAAAAACCAGTATCAGTGCTAGAATGAGTAATGACATGAATGTGGGAGCAAACTGGCAAATTCATAAAATCTCAAAATTTTTCAATATTTCAAATATTGTACCATATGAATTCTACAAACATAAACATCTTGCCAATTGTTAAGTGGATGGAGAGAAACTGCAGTCAAGGGGGGCTTTTCATCCCCAATATACCTGTTTTACTCAGACTCAACAATGCAATTTATTGAGCTTAAAAATCACTTGTGTACCCTTGCCTAGTGTTTGCTCAAGTGTCTTAAACTCTGCATATACTCTGCACACTTAACTGTCACAATGTTATAATAAGCATTTCCCTCCCTGCCCTTGTCTGCCTTTTAAACATTTTAAGGTAACATTTTAAAGTTAATTTCTTCTGAAGTTTTTATAGACAAGTATTGCAAGTACAACTCTTGTAGCCATTCCACCAAAAAGCCCAATGATCAGCTGATATTTATCTTCAATCTAACAATCAGAAACTCAGACTTCTTGCCAGAAATGTAATTTCTGTAATTTTGGACATACCAATAGTTCAACTGACCTTAGCTAAGGAGGGGGAAGGAGGATGGGAAAGCTGAGACATCTCTGAGGTTGTTTTTTTAAATCTTTGATAACTTTGAGATTCCTGGAATTAAAACTGATTTTATTAAATAGTCTTTCACAAATTAAAAAATTGAGATAGGCATCACACTTACTTCCTTCAAAAATCAAGGTCTAGTCCAGCAGTAGATGAATGGATAAAGAAGATATGGTACATATACACAATGGAATATTATTCAGCCATAAGAAGAAAACAAATCCTACCATTTGCAACAATATGAATGGAGCTGCAGGATATTATGCTCAATGAAATAAGCCAGGCGGAGAAAGACAAGTACCAAATACTTCACTCATCTGTGGAGTATAAGAACAAAGCAAAAACTGAAGGAACAAAATAGCAGCAGAATCACAGAACCCAAGAATGGACTAACAGTTACCAAAGGGAAAGGAACTGGGGAGGGTGGGTGGGAAGGGAGGGATAAGGGGATTAAGGGGCATTATGATTAGCACACATACTGTAGGGGGGGCACGGGAAAGGCAGTATTGCACAGAGAAGACAAGCAGTGACTCTATAGCATCTCACTATGCTGATGGACAGTGATTGTAATGGGGTATGTTGTGGGGACTCAATAATGAGGGAATCTAGTAACCACAGTGTTGCTCATGTGATTGTATATTAATGATACCATAATAAAAAAAAAACTGGAAAAAAACATCAAGGTCTACTCAGGCTGTCATACTTAACTCTTTCTATGATAAAGACATTTGTACTAAGAATTACACTTCCAGATAAATAAAATATTTTTAAATAGAGAATAAAATATCAAAAAACTTAAAGCAAGGCAATATTTTTAAGCTATCTTGAATGTCAGACCCAAATATAACCTACCTATGTGTTTTTAAGATATATTGTTATGTAATATAAAGACTATATGATTATATGTTAAGAATTTGACTTAGGTATTTTCATTATTTGTGCCCTTCTGTATTCTCTATAAAAGTTGCAATTTACTGTTGCCTATTTCCTCTCCATCCCAAACCTAGTGGGCTTTGTGCCTAGGCATCAGGAAAAGTCTTTATGTGGAAGCAGGTAAAAAAAAAACCTAGAGGAGGTTATAGCTGTAAAAGCCTACATTTAAAAAGAAGATAATAGGATGCCCACTCTCACCACTTTAATCAACATAGTTCTGGAAGCCCTAGCCACAGCAATTGGACAAGAAAACAAATAGAAGGCATCCATATTGGCAAAGAAGCAAAACTGTCACTGTTTGCAGATGACATGATACTGTATATCAAAAACCCTGAAGACTCCACAAAAAAAACTATTAGAATTAACAAATGAATTCAGTAAAGTTGCAGGATACAAAATTAATATACCAAAATCTGTTGTGTTTTTATATACTAATAACAAACTAGCAAAAAGAGAAATTAAGAAAACATCATTTAAAATGTCATCAAAAAGAATAAAACACATAGGAATAAATATAACCAAGGAAGTGAAAGACCCATCCTCTGGGAACTATAAGGCACTGATGAAAGAAATGGAAGATAACACAGATAAATGGAAATATATTCTCTACTTATGAATTGGAAGAACTAATTTTGTTACAATGTCCATAGTACCCAAGCAACCCAATGCAATCCCTATCAAAACACCAAGAGTCACAGAACCAGAGAAAATAATCTTAAAATTTGTATGGAACCCCAAAAGACCCTGAATAGCCAAAGCAATCTTAAGAAAGAACAAAATTGGAGGTATCACAATCCCAGATTTGAAATTATAACACAAAGGTATAGTAATCAAAACTATATGGTACTGGCATAAAAACAGATCAATGGAGCAGAGAGCCCAGAAATAAACCCATGCTTCTATGGACAATTAATATATGACAAAGGAGGCAAGGATATACAATGGGGAAAAGACAGTA